CCTTTTAAAGACACTATTGAAACTTGAAAACATCTGAAATGGAATAAAATGCTTTACTAGTCTTTTCATTTTCACTCTCAACACTTTGATAAAATCATACCCTTATTTTATCCAACATCTGAATAAAGTCATACCCACAAACGTCAACACATTTGACAGTCTAGTGATTCCAGACCAATTCCTCCTGCGTCAAATGACTTCATCAGCCTTTCCCAATAGGCCAGACTCTGGAGACAAGATCTCCTACACTCCAAGTTCTCCTCTCCGCCTTCATGTTGTTCAATGCCTGTCCATGGTTTCCCCCACCTACAGGATAAACACCAACTGCCTTATCGTGATATGTATAATTATTTAAAATCTCGCCCCAAATTCATTCCTAGAAACACGGGCTGTCCCAAACTATGAGTGGCATCAGCAGGGGTGAACATCATCATCATGATCAATACCCATAGGGCACTTACTATCCAAGAGCCACTCCACTGAAATGTACACTTGAAGTAGGTGTCCCCATCCCATTCTACAAATAAACATAACATCCAAAGGAGTAAAAGATAACGAGGGCCATGTTTTGGCTGGGATTCAAACCTAGGATTGTCTCAAAACTTTCTTCATGCCTTTTCTCCTGCTATCCCTTCCATCCTCTCCTATTCTGTATTCTGTAGAAGCATCACCTTCTCTTTCACAATACCCTCTGCATAAAATGTTCTCTTTATATACACGTGTATCTTCCCTACAAACTGTTAAGGTCTCTAAGGGCACAACTTTATTATGCCCACACATAACTCGTTCTGGAAAAGACTTTAGGGGAAGGAAGTCAACAATGTTTGGCTTCAGCTGCTTTTTTTTCAGGAATTGTAAACTCCACAGTCTATTTAATTTAATTCGCATAAAAGCCTTATATAACAGGTTTCATCCCAGTTTACAGATGAGGAATCAGAAGTTCAAAAAGGAAAGGTGAGCCCTGGTCAGATAGCTCAGTTGGTTAGAGCATAATATCAACACAAATTTTATTCCTCAACAAAGGCTGGGGGTTCAATGCCCAGTCAGGGCATATACAAAAAGCACCCAATGAATGTATACATAAGTAGAACAAATCGATGTCTATCTCTATCCTTAAAATCCATAAGTAAAAATAAAAATATTTTTTTTAAAAAAAGGGCTACATGATGAATCAGCTATGTGACTTTGGACCAATGGGGCTGGATTTCAACCCAACTCTTCTGAGTTGAAAGGTCATTCTATCTCTATGTCCAACTCCAAAGCTCATCTCCTTTTCACAATACCATAATGTCTTCCAAACTGAACAAAATACTTGGACAAAATAATTGATTCCCGTCTCCCAATTTATTCTTAATCAAAGAGAGAAGAAAGAAAACACATTTAATTAAGCATCTAATAAGCATAAGGAAATATTTACATGAATATATATTAACTGCTTTCTCAGCAGTTAAAATCCTAACAGCTAGCCGAAACCGGTTTGGCTCAGTGGATAGAGCGTCGGCCTGCGGACTGAAGGGTACCAGGTTCGATTACGGTCAAGGGCATGTACCTGGGTTGCGGGCACATCCCCAGTGGGGGGTGTGCAGGAGGCAGCTGATCGATGTTTCTAACTCTCTATCTCTCTCCCTTCCTCTCTGTAAAAATCAATAAAATATATTAAAAAAAAAATCCTAACAGCTAAACCAAAGAAATACCAAACGGCATTATTTTTAATCTCTAAAATAATCCATATTAGTAACTTCAGAAACAACAGGATCTTTTTCATGTATTTCTAACATACCAAGGGGAAAAAAGTTAATTAAGGAATGCAGCCAGAAGTTGTAACTGTGCAATCAGGTAAGTAATCCAATAGTAAAAACACTGTAATTAAATTTCTTGTAGGTAAGACTTCAAATAATTCATTTCTCATCAATACAGTAAGAGCCAAATCTGATGCAAAGGCACACACAATCATCAACCTCTCACATCAAAATTAAAGGAGAGGCAACATTATCTAAAATACACTGTAAGGATCCCCATGACCAACATTACCTAGATTTCAAGGGCATTAATAGATATTACACTAAAAAACAAAACAAAAAGAGATCTGAGGCCAAATATGGAAAACACTATTGCACTATTTCTCAAAGCCCAAATGTAAAAATGTGAATTGTGACCCTAGAACAGTGGTTCTCAACCTTCTGGTTCCTCATGCTGTGACCATCCATAAAATTATTTTCATTGCTACTTCATAACTGTAATGTTGCTACTGTTATGAACCGTAATGTAAATATCTGATATACAGGATAGTCTTAGGAGACCCCTGTGAAAGGGTCATTCAACCGCCAAAGAGGTCGAGACCCACAGGTTGAGAACCGCTGCCCTAGAAGGAAAGGGATAGCATTGTTTCCCAAACTTAGGTGACCAAGGAACCTTTTGTCTATCCTGTAACAGCTAAAACTACAGATGCTCCTAAAGTTACAATGGGGTTATATCCCAATGAATCTATTGTAAGTTGAAAATACCATAAATCGAAAGTGCATTCAATACACCTAACCTACATCATGGCTTAGCCTAGCCCTAGCCTACCTGAAATGTGCACAGAACACTTACATTAGCCTACAGTAGGCCAATTATTTTTTTAGTATATTTTTATTCATTTCAGAGAGGAAGGGAGAGGAAGAGAGAAATAGAAACAACAATGATGAGAGAGAATCATTGATCGGCTGCCTCCTGCACACCCCCTACTGGGGATCAGCCTGCAACCCATGCAAGTGCCCTGGACGGCAAAGGAACCTGGGACCCTTCAGTCCCACAGGCTGTCGCTCTATCCACTGAGCAAAACCGGTAGGGCAGTAGGCCAATTATCTTGAGCTTCATCTTTCTCACCAGAAACCGGACACACAGATGGACACACACGTTTTATAGACATGATGGAATGCAAAAACCCAAAACAAGGTTCCAAAAACTCTGCCAACATAGTTCACTGTAGAGTATTGATGTGATCAGGTGCCTGCCTGGGAGCTGCGGCTCACTAGCCCAGAACAACTCAAAATTCAAAATTTGAAATCCGGTTTCTATTGAACAGGAATTGCTTTCACGTCATTGTAAAATCAAAAAATCATAAATTGGGAACAATCTGTACAGTCACAAAGAATTCACCTTAAGTAACACTGCTTCAGATAGTCCAGAACTAAGTAAATACTGTATTCTGAACTGGTAATTAAAGGTATGGTTAGAAACAGTACTAGGGAAATTCTCGGGATCATCCAAAGTCTTTTTTAAAAATCCTAAATTGAACGTAAATTGATGACCAGAGACACTCTTTCCTTATCCACTTCACAATATTTTAACAGTAACTATTTCTCTACTCAAAATATTAGAAATAAAGAAATTCTATTTTATTCCTCACAAGAAACTGATGCCTACTACTGATAATTCTGGCATTTTGTGCAACCTTTACATATATTATCAGCCCGATAATAAACGTTCTGTAAATTAGTAGCTACTACAATTTTCTGCGTTTGCCCATTAACTAGAAGGGAGCTGGAGGTCTCATTTCACTTAAGCCCCATCTGTAATTTCACAACCAAAGTTCATAACCTCTTAAGAGTGTTCACAAACTCCATCTGTCCCTAGTATTCATCCCCAAGTATAGGTTTAATTTTCACTTCCTAACAAAGCTATGAGAAAACAATTACTGTGTTCTCCCTTTACAACGTTTCTTCCAGAAAATTCCAGCAGAAGTTATATAGCTTATTACCATACCTGTAGGTATGCCTACTCAAGTCACGTTAAGCAATGTAAGCCTTTAAAACAGTGAAATGTTTATCTCGAGTTGCTTTGTGACGTATACGTAAAATAATCCCGCACTCGCCGCTTCAACATGCAGGAAAAACCCTCTCCAAAACCCGGAATCCGAACCCCAAATCAAAGACAGCAAATTGGCACAAAACAGCTGCAGAAACAGATCTGGGATGCCCATGTCCAGGCATCACCGCGGAGACCGTCACTAAAACCCGGTCTCGTTACAGAGAAAGGGGTCGCCCCTCCCTCCCCCGGAGAGGCAGGCGGACCCGAACCCACGGCGCAGCGCAGTGTCCGCGTCACGGGAGGCTTCCCCAAACGCTGCGGAATGCGCTCAAGGTCATCGTAAGGAGGTGTCGGGGGGTGCGAGTGCACCGACCTCGCCCGCCTCCCGTCCCGCGCCAGGCGCCGAGGGCGCGGGATGCCGCGCGGGGAACGGGGCGGTGGGCGTCACGGGAAGCCCCAGAGCAGCCGCCTTCTCCGCCAGGCCCACCGCCGAGACCC